GGGGGTGAAGGGGGTGGCTGTGGGCAAGGGTGGGGCTTGGGCCAGGGTAGGGGTGAGGGTGGGAGCTGTGGATGAGGGTTGGGATGGGGCACCATCTGCTGGAGTCAGGATGAAGGAGGAGGCAGGCGGCAGAGCTGGGCTTGCGTCTGCCCCAGAGAGCTCTGAGAAGTGTCAGCTCCTGTTACCATCACGGGCAGACCGAAGCCCAGCAGGTGGAGAACCCCATGGGGGCACTGCTGAGAAGAGGGAGTCGGAGACAGAAGGTTACACAGAGTGCCGCCCCAGGGGAGTGGATACGCAAAGGATAAGTAGGGAATAGCCTAAGAAAAATTTGACATAAAAGTCAAAAAACTGAATGCTCAGGAGGTAAGAGTCAGTGGAGTGATTTGAATCAGGTGAAGTCTTTTTTAAAACCTGACATCCCAGGAATTACTCAGGTATGGTATTTTGAGGGACAAGAAGGTCCATGACATTTGTGGAAAAGATAGGGTCTTCCAGGGACTCTGGCTTATTGGAAGGAGGGCAGACGTCCCCCTGCAGTCCACTCCTCACCTTGCTCCTTGACATTGCAGGGAAAGCCCAGGCCAACGAGCAGCGGTACAGCAAGCTGAAGGAGAAGTACAGCGAGCTGGTGCAGAACCACGCCGACCTGCTGCGGAAGGTAGGCCTTAGCCGCTGCTCCCGCGGGCCAGCACGGTAGCACAGCTGCGACTGCAGCCAGGCCCAGCGTCCTCACCAGCTTCTAGGGGGCCCCACCAATTCTGAGAGCCACAGCGTTTCAGGCTCCCCTGCCTCCCACACTTTGGGCTCCACTGTAGACACCAGCATCTATGACCCACCGTGGCCCTTTTGTAAATGCTGGAGAGTCAAGTATCTGAGGATGACTACTTTAGCCTGGCATCCCTCTGGATAGAAAGGTGATTCTCTGTCCCACTCTAGAGCACCTGTGAATTTGAATATTTGTTCTAGAAGAAGATGTCCTTTAAGCCTGAGATAAGCCAGTTCAAGACACTGTTCTTCCCTGACAGAACGCAGAGGTGACCAAACAGGTGTCTGTGGCCAGACAAGCTCAGGTGGACCTGGAACGAGAGAGAAAAGAACTGGAGGATTCCTTTCAGCACCTGAGTGACCAGGCCCAGCGGAAGGTGAGAGGGAGAAGTATGTGGCGAAGAAGGAGGTGGTCAGCCTGTTGGACTTGGACATGGCTCGAGGGAAGCGTTCTCCATGGGCAGTTCTGTGGGTTAGAGCCCGATGAGATCCTCCAAGGGGCCGTGTGAGCCCCAGGACCCGGTAGTGATGCGCAGGGCTTCAGGGCAGGAAGTAATGAAGTCGGTGGGTTCAACAGCAAAGGCTCCCTGGCACAGCGATAGAGAAGAGAACAAAGACGAGCAGATCTGGCAGGTGTGGGGAGGGGCTGGCAGGCAGGAGGCCTGAGAGGCAGGAGGCGGCACCAGAGGGAAGAACTGAACAGCTCACACTTCAAGCAGTGGCTTTTACACTTTTCTGTGCCCCTTGCTGGAAAGTACATCCAGGCAGTGGAAATGAGGTTTCACAAAGCAATGCTTAAATGTGAGTGCATTTCGATGCCCTTTTTGCCCTGGTTAGGTCATTTTTTTAAATATTAGCTGTCAATTCTTACTAATAAGTTGCTGCAACTGCTGTTTCAAAAACACCACTTAGGAAAGAAATCAAAGAGGACTGGATCACGAGGGTGGTGGAGTCAGGAGGGCGCCGGTGTCAGGGTGTCTGAGTGAAAGGTCCAGTTCTGCCATAACCAGCACTGTGATCTCAAGCTCGACGTACGGGAAATAGCCTTAAAATTCCATTCGCCCCACCCCGTACCACACTGTGTCTTCGCCGTGTCTCTCCACAATGTCACAACGTTTTGTGGAGATCCAATTTACATACAAAAGAGTATGCAAACCTTACATTACAGTTTGGGATTTTCACATACGTAAAAATTTGCAGCCAGCTCCCAGCTCCGAGTGCCCCGGCTTCTCTTCTCTTTCAGACTCAAGAGCAAACAGAAATTCTAGAGAACTTGAAGCAAGAACTTGCCTCCAGCAAACAGGAACTCCAGCTTGTCCAGGGCAACCTGGAAACTTCTGCCCAGGTGAGCCCCCTTCCTCATCCTTGGCCCCTCTGGCTATGGGATGGCTGCTTTCCAGCGCTGGTCACCAGCAGGTTGGGCCACGCTGTCCCACATGTCCCCAGGGAGTGTTTGGGGAGCGGAAGTGACAGATTAAAGAGATGCCATGGCGTGTTCCCTGTGGCCAGGCGGTGGGTGTGGACTTCCGGGAAGGGGACAGTTTGACTCTCCTCCTTCCCCCACTTCTGCCATTGCAGGCAGAATCTAAGCGGGAGGCTCTGATTGCCAGTCTGGAGAAGGAACAGGAGAGCTTGCTCAAGGCTGCGGCTCGTCGCGAGGAGGAACTGTCTGCTCTTCAGGAGCAGCTGGCACAGACCCAGCTCACGCTGTCTTCCACGCAGGTAAGGCTCAGATGCCACGTGATGCTGCTCGAGCATCGTGTATCCATGGAGCCGAGGGGCTGGGAGGGGAGTTTGGGCCTTTGGCCTGACTGGCATTCTGCAGGCGCCTGATGCCAGCGTGCCCTGGGTCACTCACGAAACAGACGAGGCCAAGCAGGGCACTGTCTCCTCTGAGAAAGGACCCACTGTCGCTCTCCCTCTGGCATAGAGGGGCGTCCACCCCACAGTCCTCGTGGCCCATGCCACTACCTGCCCACAGGGTCCGCTTGCCTGTACCTGTGCCGAGCAGCGTGACTCAGGAATTCCCTTGTGCCTGGAGGACTGCTGCTCGTGGGCTGCTGGGGTTTGTGGCAGACTCACCTCCTGGGCCCTTTCTAGGAGTCCATGTACCAGCTCGTGAAGGACCAGCGGAAGAAGCTTCTGGCGGAGTCAAGGAAGGCTGCGGAGCAGATGATCCAGGAGGCCCTGCGGCAGCTGGAGGAGCCCACGCTCATCGGCTGCGCTGGATCTGCAGGTGCTTCTCCCACGCCTGGTCGGCTGCGGCCTCTCAGCCCGGGGCTGTTCGCTGTGGCTTGGAACCAGGAGACGCTGGCTCAGGGTCCTCCGGCGTGCTGCTGGTCAGAATTGCCCGGGGATGTCCAGGCCCCATGCTGAGAACTGCTCAGTTAGAAGCTCCCAGGCAGAGGATGTCCTGAAGCCCCGCGTGAGGTGGCCACTGCCTTAGTCAGCAGGTCACTATCCAGCCAAGCAGGGCCCTGGTGCGGCTCTGAACACCAGAGGAAAGAGATGCAGGCCATCCTGTGTATAGGGAGAAAATTGTAATCTGAATCAAGACGGCTGCTTGTGAGCGTCCCGTCTAGATGGGAGCATCGTAAAGCACAGACCAGCAGGCGCAGGGCAGGCACAGACACGCCTGGGCATATGTCCGCACGGGGCCGGTGCGTGCCCCTAGGTGCGCAGGAGAGAGGGGTCTGGGGCAGAGAGCCAGGGAGCGCCTCCAGTGTAGACGGGACTGCATCCGGGCCCTGCGGTTGGCGGGATCGTGGGCACAGTGCTGACAGATGTCATCACAGCTCCTTCTCAAGCGGAGGGGACATGTTGGCAGAGTAACAGAGATCCCCCTGAGGGACAGGCATATGGGAGGAAACAGCTGACAGCAGATTTTTATTATCCAATAGAAAGGTCTTAATTTGATATCTTATTCAGCAGGGAACCCATCTGTAAAGAAAACAGCTGCCCGTGAAGCACACTGAGTACCTAATTTACTGAGGGGAGGCCAGGACTGTGCAGTGGTGGGCGGATCTGACATGTCATGAGCTGAGTTTGAAGGAGGAAGAGAGACATGAACCCATGGAGAGGAAGAGAAGTGAGAGCAAATAATAGTAACAGCTGGCATTTGTTTGCTGGTGCCAGGCGCCACGCCACAACCACACACACACACTGCAACTTGTCACACGTCTGCACAGGGGCCTTGGGTGTGAGCCACATCCTAAGGGCACACCAAGAGGGAGCTGTGTCAGAGGATGCTGGACAAGAGAGGGCCTTGGCGCCCACTGGGTGGGAGAACATGGCCTCCGCCGCCCATGGAGGACGTGTTCCGAGGCACCCAGCGAGTGCCGAAGCCAGGGGCAGTCCTGAACCTAGATGGGCTGTTTTTCCTATAGCTACGTACCTGTGAGAGGGTTTAATGTACAAGGTAGGCGCAGTAAGAGATC